AACCATGTCACAGTCAAGAACTTTCCATTGAGTTCTGGTACTCATTCACGATCACGATTCACGACTTGTGAATCACGAGTGACCAGTGAGAGCTTCCATGACTCATGGACTGCATTCCCTCCATGTACGATGAGGGAGATGCGGCTGTGCGAAAAATCATTCTCCTGTGGGAGTCACTCCCACAGGTCACTGTGACCTATGATTTTACGACACGATGGTATAGTGGGGACGTCACACGAAGTTTTTGTGAGACTCATAGTGTATCATACCCTGAATACTCCCATTGGGTTACCCAATTTGAATAATGGTACGACCCAGCCCCGTTCATGAACACGAGTCGGGTCATATTTTATTGAGTCGTGAAATCAGCCACTCAGTCGCAGAGAGAAGAAGTCCTCTGGAGAGTGGAAAAGAAAAAGAAGTCGAATATTGGGTAGGTGAAACATTTTCTTGAGCTGTGTCGCTGGCTCCTGAACTGTTGGCAGAGCCAGCAATCTGACTCGAAGCCTTGGAGAAGATAAAGCCCTACACTTAGAGACGTCAGTGACTCCTCTCAATTTATGGCTGGAGTCCCCGCAAGGATCATATCGTCTATACCGCAGTCCCCTTGGACTATCTTGAAGGTGCCGTGGTCACCCCACTCTTCATTCCAGGAGTTCATAACCAGCCAGTAATCAACGCCCTTCTCGGTACCCCAGCCGATGATCTCAACAGCATGGCCCCCAAGGAATCCGCCACTTGTATGCTTGTAGACGCCTGACTTGTAGGACAAGAAGTCTTCATACACAGAGAATGCAGCTGAAGTCTGAGGAAGAATGTGGTAGATATAAAGAATGCTCGGAAATGCAGGAACAGCCCGTACTGGCCCATTGGTCATGATCTCCTTCTTGATGCTGCTTGTGCTCCCGAACCGACTCGGGAAAGACTTTCAGTGTAGTGACGATCCCTTGAGACGACGAGTCGCGACACACACTTTCATCCTTCGTTACTTGTCGAAAGCAGTCCCATACTTCGCATTGGGGCAGCTGCTCGAGCACGAAGGT